AGCCTGGCTAGAGGTTTGTCAATTTTGTTTATTTTTTCAAAAAACCAACTCTTGGTTTCATTGATCTGTTCAACTGTTTTTTTTTGTTTTTTGTTTTTTGTTTTTTTGATTCTATATTGTTTATTTCTGCCCTGATTTTTATTATTTCTCTTCTCCTACTGGGTTTGGGGTGCTCTTGTCGCTCTCCTTCTAGCTCCTTTAGGTGCGCTGTTAGATTTTGTGTTTGCGCTTTTTCTAATTTCTTGAAATAGGCCTGGAGTGCAATGTACTTTCCTCTTAGGACTGCCTTTGCCACATCTCCTAGAGTTTGAATTGTATTTTCATTTTCATTTGTTTCCATATATTTTTAAACTTCTTCTCTAATTGCCTGATTGGCCCATTTGTTCTTTAACCTCCATGTTTTTCGAGGTTTTCCAAACTGTTTCCTGTGGTTGATTTCAAGTTTCATAGCATTGTGATCTGAAAGTGTGCATAGTATGATCTTGATTCTTTTATATTTATTGAGGGCTGCTTTATGTCCCAGTATGTGATCTATCTTGGAGAATGTGCCATGCGCACTTGAGAAGAAAGTGAATTCCATGGCCTCAGGATGTAGAGTTCTAAATATATCTGTCAAATCCATCTGGGTCAATGTGTCATTCAAGTCCATTGCTTCTTTAGTGATTTTCTGTCGAGCTGATCTATCCATTGCTGTAAGTGGAGTTTTAAAGTCCCCTGCTACTAGCACATTCTTGTCCATGAGATTGTTTCAGTTTGTGATCAATCGCTTTATGTATTTGGGTGCTCCTGTATTCGGTGTGTAGACATTTATAATTGTTAGCTCTTCCTGATGGATGGACCCCGTAATTATTATATAGTGCCCCTCTTCATCCCTTGTTACTGCCTTTCCTTTAAAGTCCAGTTTGTCTGATTTAAGTATAGCTACTCCAGCTTTCTTCTGACTTCCAGTAGCATGATATATATTTCTCCATCTCCTTACTTTCCATCTGAAGGTGTCCTCATGACCTTGTAATTTTAAATCTTTTATGTTTTTCAGTTAATTTTTTAATTTTAATTCCAAGATTGTTAACATACAGTTTTATATTAGTTTCAAGTGTACAATGTAGTGATTCAACAATTCCATATGTTACTCAGTGCTCATCATGATAAGTGTACACTTTCATCACCAGACTTTGGTAACTTTTAAGTTAGCTGCATAATATCCTGTAGAATGAATGTACTATTATTTATTCAGCCATTTCTCTCCTCTATTTATCAACATTCCTGTTGTTTCTAGTGTTTTCTTATTACAATCAGGGCAGCAAAAACATCTGTGTACATATTGTTTCAAATATTAGTACTCTTATGTGTTTATTAACAGTCTTTCATATTTCTGTTGGATTCCATATGGGATGGTTAGGACAAAGAAAAATTATTGTTGTATTTCTTTAGAAGTTGTAACGATACAGCCTCAATAGGATATGAGTACCCATCTCCCCACAATTTTGCCAGTAAAAGTTGTTAGTAATTTTTAGTTAACACCATCTAATATGGTAACATCATATCAGATGTTATTACATGTTATATATGTTATCATGTTATGTTATATGTTATTATATGTTAACATACCCTAATATCATAAAATAGTCCATTATAGTTTCTTACATTATATATGCATATATGTCTATATGTATATATATATGTGTACATGTATGTATATTACATTTTTCCCTTTAATCTGGACCTTATTTTTATGTATGATGTGAAATAAATGCCTAATTCTATTTTCTTCAAATGGAAAGCCAATTATCACAAACTATTTATTGTATAGACTATCAGGTTTCCATAGACCTTATATATAATCTTTATCACATACATTTCCATAGTACCAGTGTTTATTTCTGAACATTTAAAAAAGATGTTTATTTATTTTTGAGGAGAGATGGAGCATGAGCAGGAGAGGGACAGAGAGAGGGAGACACAGAATTGGAAACAGGCACCAGGCTCTGAGCTGTCAGCACAGAGCCCAACACGGGGCTCAAACTCCCAGGCCAGGAGATCATGACCTGAGCCAAAGTCAGATTCTCAACCGACTGAGCCACCCAGGCGCCCCTGTTTCTGAACATTTACTTCTGTTATGCTGATTATTTTCGCCTCTACTAATACCACACTGTTTTGACTCTTATAGTTGTATAATAAGCTTTGATATCTAGTAAGACATGTTGCTCTGTTTTTATTTTGTAAAATACACATAATGCAAACCTGACAATACCAAAATTTTAGACATTTTTCATTATATAGTTCAGTAGAATAAGTTCATTCACATTATTGTGCAGCCATCATCACTGTCTCCAGAACTGTTTGTCTCCCCCAGCTGAAATTCTGCACCCATTAAATACGAATTCCCCATCCCTTCCTCCTGTAGCCCTTGATAACCATTCTACTTTCTGTCTCTATTAATTTGACTACCTTAGGTACTTCATTTAAGTGGAAACACACAGCATGTGTCTTTTCTTGACTGGCTTCTTTCACTTAGCATAATGTTCTCAAGGTTTGCACTGTCTTAGAAAATGATCCATTTCATATACATGTTCTAGTGTATTTGCATAAACCTCTCTTAAAGTTTTGTATAGACTATCAGTTTTAACATTTGTTATACCTTTTGCTGAGCCTCTCTTCTCGTTTCTAGTTATTTATGTTTCTATATTTTCCTGATTATATTATATGCCATATTTATTCTTTAATTAACAATCCTTTGCATTTATTGAAAGGATTTATTTTCTATTTTCTGGCTCTATCTTTATATACATACATATATGGCTTTTAATCCTTTCTCTCTCCCTCTCTCCCCCCTTTCCCCACCACTACCCTGGTTCTTTTTTTCTTCCTTTTAGTGGAAAGTTCATTTGTTCTTTAGCATTTAAAATGTGTGCTTAGTCACTTATTTTCAATCTTTTCTTGCTTACCATGAAATTCCAAGCATCCCTAAATTTTGAAGTGTCGTGTTCTGAGTATTGTTATTTTATAAATAGTCTACAATATACATTATGAAATTCTTTGTAATTTAAAACTAATTAGAAAATGCTTTTAAATTTCCAGTGGATACATTTTAATTTGACCATTTTTGATAGTTAATGTTTTAGTTTTATTGCATCATAGCTGTAGAATATGGGTTACATGCTTTCCACTATTAAAAAAATCTTTTGAGAATTCTTTTTGTGGTCTCATATATCATCAGTGTTTTAAGTGTTCCATGGGTATTTGAAAAGGATGTTTATTTTGCTTCTTTTTGCTTGCAAAGTTTTCCATATATTTATTAAATCAAGCATGTTAATTGTGCTATTCAAATCTTCTTCCTGTGGTTCTTTTTCCTTATACCAATTTCTGAGAGAGAAGTATGACATTAAATTTTGCCAATTGCTTTCTAGATTTCGAACATTTTTTTTAAATGTGGTTTGATTATTGAATGTTAGATACACCAAGTGTATATCTTCTTTATGTATTATACTGCTTTTGTCTTATTTAACGCTTTTTGCCTTGACTAAGTATAAGGTTACCACTCCTGCTTTATATTATTAACATTTGCCTACTATATCTTTGTCCATCCCTTTCTATTTGATCTTTCTGGAATATTTTGTTCTAGGCATATCTCTTGGAAACAGATATACCTAGATTTTGCTTAAAGAAAAACCTAATTTGAAATTCTCTGTTTTTGAATTGGGAAATTTATCTGTTGCCGTTTCCTTGGAAAATGGAAACATTTGGTCTAACTCTGACAACCCTGTTTGGTTTTCTATTTTTATGTAAATTAGTTTTTTACCCTTTCCTGGAGTGATTGAGTTTTCTTTACTGTCATTTTTTGTTTACCCGTTTGAAAGATATACATACTACTACTATTTATCTAGGGCTTAAGCTTATTTTTTAATAACACATTTGAATATGTACCCTTTTATCAATTGCTAACATTAGTGTCTCTTGCTTCTTCCTTAAACAAGACAAGACTGAACTTAGCCTCTCTTTTCTCCTCTACTTCCTCCTCTGATAGAAATTTCATTTGAACCTTGTGTTCAAGGTTTTTTTATTATCTTGTCTCTTTTAGAGAGAAATATTTCTTAATAATTGAATTAAGCTTAAAAGTGCCATTATGAATAATTATTTTGATCTAATGTTAGTTATGTGCTATCCTTAACTTATCATTGTTTCTTTGATCTGTCTTTCTCTTCTTTGCATCTGCTTTTAATTTCTTTTGGCATAAACTCTCAAATAAGTTTTTTTAAAGGGTGGTACATTTTCTGAGTCCATGAGTATCTGTAATTGGCTTTAATGAGTTATTGGGCTTAGGAAGTGATACCCCAGATCTTTTCTTCTAAACTTTGAAGATATTTTTCTATGATATTTTAGGATTCCAATTTTGATTATTTTGTAAGTGCCGTCGCTTCTTTAACTATCTGGTTACTCTACCTCAGGCATAATATTAGGCTACAGGAATTCACAGAAGGTAACATTGATCTATAAATAAATGTCTGTGGTCTGTGGGAGGGAGAGGAATGAGTAACTGAGTGTGCTGGGGGTGGGAGGAGGGTTCTCCTTTGCAGAGGAAACATTGAAACTAGACAGTGAAATTTACTACAGAAATTTACTACGGAATCTACACTCTTACCTACTCCACTTTCTGGTTCTTAGTATTGCAATGTCAGATAGACTTAAATTAGATAAATCTAGACCAGATGAGAATTGCATAGATACAGAAATAAACATATTTTTCCCCTGAAATCAATTAATCTTGTTCTAACATCTAACATGTATAACACTCCTCCCTTTTACAGATTTCCCAGGCCAGAGGTTGGCGAACTAAGTTATACCACCTTCTTTTGTAAATAAAGTTTTATTGGAACAACTATGCTCTTTCATGTACGTGTTGTCGGTGGCTTCCTTCATGTTAGAACAGCAGAATTGAGTGGCTACAACACAGACTGCCTGGCTCACAAAGGCTCAAGTATTTACTTTCTGGCTCTTTACAGAAAACGTTTGCTGACTGCTGCTCTAGGACATTCGTCAACACAGATGACCAGAGCTCACACCAGCGTTCCTGAAGGCCAGCAAAGGTAGGTTGCAACAGCAAAGCTGGACTTCCTCAGGGTGACTGATGACTGTATTGATACAAATCCAGCAATTCAGTCGGCCTGTATTTTACGTTGAATGACGCCGAAGCTTATCTCTCAATATGCGCTGTTGTTAATAATAACTTGCCCTTTAAATGATTTCCTTTCTTCATTGTTGTTTTTTTCTCATGTTCTAGGAGTTGTGCAATTCAGCATTGCGATTTTCATTTCTTTGCGTGATGTGAGGGAAGCTGGCATATTTGCTAATGTGCTGTTGTGTGGGCTCGGGCTGTTGATTGCTTTTGGCCTAGGTGCTGTGCTGAGCTCCAAGGTTTGGCTTTGTGAACGCTGCCTGGCAAAACGGAAACATTTTGTGAAATTTCACAAATGTCACATGCACCCGCACACACACACATTTTAAATTGCAAAATTCTCCCCCTTGGCGCACAATTTTACCCAGGTTTTTGTGGCTCATAATAAATCTTTAACTATCTTCAGCCCTACAGGAGCACTTTCGTGGGTTGACTTGCTTTTGCTTTGATAAAACTTGCACTTAAAAGTCCTCGGTTTCCAGGGTGTTTGTATTGTTTCGCCTTTCTCAAAAATTCAATATTATCTTTTATTCCAAAAGTAAAGCAGCTTTATTTCAAGCCCAACTATTCTCTCAGACAAAGATACCTGATTTAATTCCCACTGAAAATCATTTTCGAGAGGGGGCCCATAGAAACTGACCTCACAGCGTCACCATCCTAAACTCAAAATGAGACACAGGCAGTTGAATTCAGAGAAAAACTGGGCAGATTACATTCTTTTTGTGCGTCAGTTAAAGCATCTAAGAAACTGTAACAAGGATGCTTCATCCCAATGAAAATACTTCCTGATATACTGCAGTACTTTTCCTTTCTGGGTAGCTAAGAGCACTTTAAAAACAAGTCTGTCACATAGAGGAGGGTATAGGTACTATTGTCACTGGGTCACAGGTGAGGTAAGCTTTTGCTGAAGGTCATTCAGAAAGTCAGTTGGGGGCCCGGCAGTCTTAATTTTGTGGTTGGTGTACCTGTTCTAAGCATTTGGCCAATTTTACCATATGCCTCTGGTTCAAGAAAATTCTTCCAGTTTGACTCCCCGGATTTGCATCTCTCTCTGGGCTTCAAACTCTATAGTTTACTGGCACCCCGGATACTGAGATGTTCCTTCTGACAACAGGCCCCTATCTTCCTTACTTCAGCTTGACCCCAGGGTCCTCGTGCCCATGAACTTCCGTCCCGGCAGCCTTGATGAGATGGCGTGGCTGCCCCATGAGCTAGCTGTGTCCTTCTTGTTTTAGACATACAGGGTAACAATAGTCCGGCAGCCCTCTCGATCCAAAGCACGCAAGTGCAGCCAGGCCAAATGGGACAGGCTCAGCCACACCATTTGAAACACATAGTATTTACTGGAGAGCAGACAGTGCCATTGAGAAACTCTGAAGAGAAAATTAGTGTCTTTATTTTGTCAGTTACAGAGCTGGTCCCAACTGTTTGGGGAAGAAAGGGACTAAACGTTCCATTTAATCATTGAAACAGTACCTTTAGGTAATGCTCAGCGTTCTGGGATAATTGCTCAGGGCCTCTCAGGAAATGTTAGAGTTGAAAGTGTATGCTCATGAGTTAGAATGTCTGTGTTTAAACCACAGTTTTGCCACCGAGTAGCTTTGTGACCCTGGACAAATTACATAAGTACTCTGTGCCCTGGTTTCTCATGCGTAAACTAGAAAAAGAAAAATACCTCTGTGTGGTTTGATTGGGTAGTCACTAGCCCCTTATGCTCATTTAAATGTAAATTTAAAGTAATTAAAATGAAATGAGAGTAACTATTCATTTCCTCAGTTGTACTAGCCGCAGTCCAAAGACTCACTAATCACATGTGGCTAGGGGCTACTGTATTGGAGAGCACAGAAGAGAACATTTCTATCATAAAGTCTATCGGACAGCGCTGGTCTACATCACAGGGTGATAATGAGGAGTAGATGAGTTCATACATCTCAAGTGCTTAGAACAATGCCTGGCACGTAGAAGACGTTCAGTATATTTATCATTACATTATCATCATCATCATCATCATAGCCATCACCATCATTACCTCTATACCTCTCTTCCTTCTCAGATCTTCTTCAAAATGGCAGCTGGGTCTACTGGGAAAGGGTATAGTTACTACACTTTCTGGTTACTAGATTTTGTAGACGTTTTATTTCCTGTACAGTCTTGTACATTTTCAGGTGACAGGATTCTTAGTTTTAAAGAGAGACAGCATCATAGAATAACTATGAGTAAGGGCTGTAGAGTCCACAGGCCTGTTTTGAGTCCCAATTCTGCCATTTAGTAGCTGTGCCACCTTAAGTAAATTATTCACTCTTTCTGTGTCTCAGTTTCTACATAAGTAAAATGAGGATGAAATATAACAGAATCCCTCAAGGATTCTGGGAGAATTAGTTAACATAGATACTTAGAATGGGACCTGGCACTGTAAGGTCTCAAAAAATATTACCTCTCAGTAACATTACTGATATTATTATTTCTTCCCTGTTCGCATCTCCCCTTCAAAATGGCCCTGGAATCTACTGGGGAAGTGTTTGGCTCACTCAGCTTCCTGGTGAGGAAAGGTGCCAGAGTCCTCTAGTTCTTCTGGTCTTTGAGGTGATGTCCCTTTGCCCCTTTGCCCCTTTTCTGGCATTTGGGAGTGAGATTGTTGGTTGATTTGATCTGTAATTCAGTGGGTCTATAGCCCCTCCTGGCTGATATGACCATTGCTTGGCTCTCACTGGTGCTATAGACCCACTGCAGCTCTGCCATGCCTTCCTTTTGGTTTCTGGTTGGGGTGGTCTCTCAGCCTCCATTGCAAGTTCTCTCTCCATCTCATCATGGCTGGTCCCTGGGCATTCCACTCTTCTCCACTAAGCTTTTCAGCCCCATTTGGGAGAGCTTCAAGAGCTTCTGGGCTCCCATCCACGCTGGACCCACAGATTGATTTCAAAGTGACTACAGTATAGGTGGCTCTGAAACAGATCTACCTCATACCTCCTTCAATTTACCTAGCATATCATTTCCTTACCCCAGTGATTTGAGATGGAAATTACCCCCATTCCACCTGGCAATCCATTTCAGCTCATGGGGCTCCTCTTAGAGGATGAGGTCACCTAAGGCAGGTCTCAGAAGAAATGAGATTTCTCATCAGACATTCTTTAAGACTAACAGCCATTCCAAAGTGCCTTGAGGAGCCTTGGGATCATCATCTCCATCCTGAGCCTGGACATTCCTTGATAATGATTCTACTACCCATCATTTAGTCACGACTTGAAGTTGGAACCCAGATTTGGGCACATGTGTCCAGACATAACAAATGACCTTATGCCTATGGATTCCAACCTTAACTGGTAACTGGAATTCTGAATTAGTGTGGTAGAAATTAGCATGTCAACAAAAGAGGGCAAGAGATAAATGCATCAAACACCATGGAAGTAGAGTTAGTAGGTCTGGCCACTGGCTAGATGTGGGAGACAAGGAAGAGACAACTCAAATCTGACTTCTAGGTGTTGAACTTGGTGACTGAGAAAACCAGAAGGAGTTCATATGCGGTCCTCACAGTTGTATCTGCCCCTAAAGCATGGAACCCAAATGTTAGCTATGTAATATACCCTTGCTGATGGTATAACTGTGATGGATTTATTTGAATAGGTTCTGAGAAGGCAGGTCCAAGGGCAATCATATTCTAAAAGTGAGGCGGACATTTATGAGACTGTATATGATAGGTAAATATAACTGGTTTGAAAATGTAATATTGGACATCTTAGCTCTAATGTCAGGAGTTGAGGTTTTCAAATAAAGCCACAAGTAACTGAAATTACAAAAAATAATGATTCTCTTCAGGAATGGCTTGATGATGTGGGTAAGGTATGGCACCCATGGCTTAGAGTCCAGTGAATATCACAGAAAGGGGAAGTTGCTTTTCTCATTCTTAAATGAGAATTTGCATGGTGTTTATGATTTGGGGCACTGCCATGAAAGAGTAATATGTCCCCAGGTGCACATGAATATTATTTGATGATGATGAGCACTTGATGAATAACTTTCACAGTGTTGTTTATAATTACTCTGGTAATAGTAATTATAGATCCAAAAGCAAAAAATCCTGACTATTAGATTTAAGAATAAAAGGTTAAACCTCATATAAAAGTGATCATTTTTAGTGGTTGTGGAGAAAATGTTGAAATGACTACAGGAACATATGGGAACTACCAGCAGACCAATTCATGTGTTGCAGCTATTTAACTGAATTACAAATGCAAAATGCATTCTTTTCCCAGTTTCATTCCATTTAAACCCAAATGGCTATGTGAAATGGTGTCACACACCTGGTGAAAAGCTTTGCTTTTTAAAAATCTTATCGCTTCCCCAAAGCGCCTGGTGTTGAACAAACAACAACATTCTTTCTGTATTTTTAAAACAAGTTTAACCATTTTCCAGAATATCCCCTTCTCTTTGCATGAAAAAAAAAACGAAGCATCACAAGAAATTTAATTCAACCCCCTTTCCTCCCTAATGGTTTTATTGGCATCAGTGATGATGCTAGTCACTGTTAGGAAAGCAAATGCGGGTGGGCTTTTTTTTTCCACCTTAAATCTAGGAAAGAATATTTTGTTGTGGTGGTTATAAGTGGAAGACTGTGTTATAAAACAGTAAGAAGCGCTCTTCCAAACTGCTAAGAGAACGTGACGAACGATGGAGGAATAAAGCCCACAAAGTAAAAACTTTGAATTGTACTTGAGAGCACAACCAAAGAAAAACAGAAAGAACAGTTAGTTGAGGCAGGAAAAAAAAATTGAACTCTCTTATAAAAACACATTAAGATAATATTTGATCTATTTGGGAACACAGGCTATATTTAGTTATGATGGGTTGTATATATTGGACATTGCAAACTGTTGGCCCGAGCCACATCTTGTACCCAGTTGTGTTCTATTTGGT